CCGCCTGAAGACCGAGCTGTCATGGCTGCGGCGTCGAGGGGCAGTCCGCGCCGACGAGGACGAGGGCGCCGCGTCGCGCACCTGCGGCAGGTGTCGCGCGGAGCTGGGCCTCATCATCAACCGGGGCGCGCCGTGCCGGGCCTGCCGACAGCGCGTGTGCAAGCAGTGCCGCGAGTACAGTGTCAACGGCAGGGACTGGGTCTGCACGGTCTGCCAGAAGCAAATGTGAGTGCTGGAGGATTTTTGGTTTTGTGTGTTGGGTTTTATATTATCATAGCAGTACTACATTATTGATATTGTTATTATTATCATGGTAAGGATAATAATTTATCTCAATATGATAATTCCGACAGCATGCTTATAAAACCTCATTTACGCGCGTGCATGTCCGTGTCCGTTTCAAACACGCGCGCATGAAGAGTCCTTCGACTCCTACACGCGACCCAGATTCCTCTCGTGTCCCTGGAAGGAGGCAAGGTCAGCGCAGGACTCGATGCATTTCCCCCGGCCGAGGAGGGGAAGAGTCGGGGGCGGGGTTGTGGGCTGGGGGGTGGTGGGGCCGGTGGAGGGGAGGTGGGGAGGAGAGGGGAGGGACTGTGGGGGAGGATGGAGGGGGGTAGGGAGGGGAAGATGTGGGAAAGGAGGGTGGAGAAGAGAGGGGGAAGGAGGATGGAGAAAGAAATAGGAGTAATGTTAGAGGATAAGAAAATAAGAGGATAGAAGGATAGAAGATAGGAGGATTTGAGGGTGATAGTTGATAAGAGGAACGAGATGTAGCGAAGGGGTGGGGGTGAGGGAAGGATGGAGAACGGAAGGAGGCGAGAAGGGGAAAGAGAGCCGGTAGGAGACGGCAGTTTCAACTCGCCTATTGCTAAAACGGCTGTGACGTCACTGAAATGTGTTTTGGAAAAGAGGGAAAAATAGTTTTTTATTTGGTTGTTTATTTATTTCATATGTTCCGTTTTATTTTGTGCGTTGTGTTTTTTTTCCTGTTCTTTTCCCCTGGCTTTCCACTTTGTCTATGTTTTTGTCCCATCTTTTCCCTTCTTTTCTCCTCTTTTTTGGTTCAGTTATTTTATCTTGCTGGTCTTAGTCTTTTCTTTTCTACTTCAATTCGGTTTTACTTTTCGTTCTTCGTCGTTCTGTCTGTCGTCTGTCTTCTGTCTTCTGTCTGTCTGTCTGTCTGTCTGTTCTCTGTCTGTCTGTCTCTCTCTCTCTCTCTCTCTCTCTCTCTCTCTCTCTCTCTCTCTCTCTCTCTCTCTCTCTCTCTCTCTCTCTCTCTCTCTCTCTCTCTCTCTCTCTCTCTCTCTCTCTCTCTCTCTTTCTCCTCCCATCCTCCCTACCTCTCCCTCCTCTTTTCCACTTTTTCTCCCCTATCTTCCCTCCCATTCCACCATTTTCTCTCCCTTCCTCCTTTAGTACCTAACTCCCTCCAATCCATTTCCTCTTTCCTCCTACTTCTCTCCTATCTTCTCCCCTCCCTTTCTTCCCATCCTCTCACCCCACCTCCACATGTTCACCTTCCCCCCCTCCTCCTCCCCTCCCACCCTCTCACCCCCACCTCCACATTTTCATCTCCCTCCCCTTTCCTCCCCTCACCCTTCCCCCCACCCTCCCACCCTATCTCCCAAAAAATTTTCTCCCTACTCTCACCCTCCTTCTTCCCTCACACCCTCCCTCCTTCCTCCCTCCACCCTCTCACCCCCACCTCCACATTTTCACCCTCCCTCCCTCTCTGCCTCCTTCCTCCCCAACCCCCCCAGCACCTATCACAGCACTTGGCTCTTAGATGTATTCTCCTACCAGCATGTAATACACGTTTTATGGTTTCGTGTTAACGGCTTGGCACATAAAGCAGCGTCGTAAAGAGGAGATTGGGTCATGTGCAGCCGGGAATGGGCGACCTCCTGTGCCTCTCAGCATCCTCGCCATCCTCGGGCTTCGTCTCGGAACGCGGGGCTCAGGGAGGCTTGGTTATTTGTTTGGAGGTGTTTGAGTTGCTTTCGAATTGGTGTGCGTGCGGGTTGAGGTATGTGGATGTACGCACGAACACGCATGCGCACGTACACGCACACATACTCACACAAACACATACGCGTGGATGTATGTGTTCGCATCTAAAAGTGCTTCGACGACTGTTTTTATCGTTAGTCTTCATACTTTTTATGTCGATATATTCTTTGTATTATTTTTGTTCTTCTCCTTCACTTTTTATTAATTCTACCCTATTACATATTCCGTATCTTGAAATTAGCATCGTTTAAATCTCATCCTCCTCTCGATTTCAACCTAGTCATGGAGTGAAGCAGACATAATCAAATATTATGACAACGACCGCTCCGCCCTGGTTGCCTCGTCGATTCAGCGCGGGTCGATTCAACCGCTGCATCCGTTTCCTTCCCTGTAATTCTTATTCAGTGATACGCCTAAAGTTCATTGAATGTTTTACAAAGAGTTCAGCTGTCGTCGTTGCAGTTGCAGGGGACACAGCTGGCCTGCAACGATATCAGGGGCCTTGGGCGTGCAGGGAGGGCCATAGCCACGTGGGCAGGGGCACGTGCGTGACGCCGGGCCTGTGACTCATTTGCGATGCCAAGGTTGCTTCGTTCCACCTCTCGCTGTCGGTTTCTCGCCCTCTCGTCCTCCGGCCTTCTCTCTCTCTCTCTCTCTCTCTCTCTCTCTCTCTCTCTCTCTCTCTCTCTCTCTCTCTCTCTCTCTCTCTCTCTCTCTATATATATATATATATATATATATATAATATATATTTATGTGTGTTGTGTGTTGTATGTGGTGTGTGTGTGTGTGTGTGCGCGTGTGTGTGTTGCAGGAGGAGGGCAGGGGAGGCAGGAGAGCAGGAGGGAGGGGAAGGGGGAAGAAGAAGAGGAGAAATGGAGGGGGAGGAGGAGGGGGGAGGAGGAGGGGAGGGAGGGAGGGGAGGGGGGGAGGAGGGGAGGGAGGAGGAGGGAGGGGAGGAGGGGGGGAGGAGGAGGGGGGAGGAGGAGGGCGGAGGAGGAGGGGGGAGAGGAGGGGGAGGAGGAGGGGGGGAGGAGAGGGGAAGGAGGAGGGGGGGAGGAGGAGGGGGGAGGAGGAGGGGGAGGGAGGAGGGGGGAGGAGGAGGGGAGGAGAGGGGGGAGGAGGAGGGGAGAGGAGGAGGAGAGGAGGAGGAGAGGAGGAGGAGGGAGGAGGAGGAGAGGAGAGGAGGAGAAGAGAAGAGGAGAAGAAGAAGAAAGAAAAAGAGAAGAAAGAAGAAGAAGAAGAAGAAGAGAAGAAGAAGAAGGAGAGGAGGAGAAGAAAAAGAAGAAGAAGAAGAAGAGAAGAAGAAGAAACAGCAAGAGAAGGAGAAGAGAAGAGAAGAAGAGAAGTTGAAGAAAGAGGAGGAGAAGAAAGTAGAGAAGATGAAGGATATGATGATGATGAAGAAAAAATTAAAAAAAGAGAAGGAAAAGGAAAAGGCGAGATGAAAAAAGGAAGGAGGCGAGGAGCAGAAAGAGAGAAGGAGAGAAGGAGAGGGAGAGACCGACCCCTGGACAAGAGATCAGAGCACGAGGACGTGGGGAAATCCCTGGCAGAACCGAGGCAGGACGCGCCCGCCACCCCAGCCCCTGAAGGATATTTTAAGGGTGAAGATTCCCGCTCTGAAAGGGGTTGCTTCTGTGTCGCCTTCTGTGTGTCTTGGCATTTTCCTTGAATTATTGTATTCTGTCTTGAAGCTAACGCAACTTGTTTTTTCTTTTTTTCTTCTTCTTTTCTTCTTTTCTTTTTTTTCTTCTTTCTTCTTTTAGATAAAAAAACGAAGGTAGTTTAGGTATATGAGATCCATTTAGCGAGTGGTTAATAAAGAGTTAGCGCTTCGTCATAAGTGGATGAGGCATGTTTTGTAAGTTTTAAGTATTTGTAAGAAGGCGGAGGAAGTGAGCGAGTTGGGGAGGCAAGACACGCGGGATAAACGGTGTGTGTTTTCACCTCCTTTCTTTCTCTCACTTTTTTTTTTAATCGCCGTTTCTCGTTTTCCCTGTTTTCTCCCGATATCATTTTCTTCATTCTTCCTTTTTTTTTGCTTTTGTGTTTTTCTTCTACTTCTTATTTATTATTGTTATTATTATCATTATAGTTATTGCTATTATTATTATTATTATCATTATCATAATTGCTGTTGTTGTTATGATTGTTATAGTAATGATACTGATATTTTCAAAGCAACAATAATAGTAATGCAAATAATAATGATAATGGTAATTATGATGATAATGATAATTATTATCATTATCATAATACTGCTACTATTATCATTAGTATTTTGCTCTTCTTTTCCTCTCCATCACACTTTCTCTCCTCCATCTCCCCCTTTCCCCCCCAATTCATCCTTCTCATCCTCCTGAATGCCCCGCCCACTCCCTTCCCTTCCTTCCCTCGCCCCGCCCACACCCTTCCCTTCTCTCACCCCGCCTTATCCCTTCCCTTCCCTCGCTCCGCCCACTCCCTTCCCTTCCCTCGCTCCGCCCACTCCCTTCCCTTCCCTCGGCCAGCCCGTCTATCTCCCTTACCTTCCCTCGCCCTGCCCACACCCTTCCTTCTCGCGCCCGCCCCCACTCCCTCCCTCGCCCGCCCACTCCCTTCCCTTCCCCGGCCAGCCCCATCTCTCCCTTTACCTTTTTCTTCTTCTCTTCGCCCGCCCCACTCCCCCTTCCACGCCCCGCCCCCATTTCTCCCTTCCTCGCCCGCCCACACCCTTCCCTTCTCTCACCCGCCCTTACTCCTTTCCCTTCCCCTCGCTCCGCCCACTCCCTTCCCTTCCTCGCCAGCCCCGTCGTATCTTCCTTACCTTCCCTCGCCCCGCACACACCTTCCCTTTCTCGCGCCCCGCCCCCACTCCCTTCCTCGCCCCGCCCACTCCCTTCCCTTCCCTCGGCCAGCCCCATCTCTCTTCCTTTATCGCCCCGCCCCACCCTTCCCTTCTCTCGCCCGCCCCACTCCCTTCCTTTCCCACGCCCCGCCCCCATTTCTTCCCTTCCCTCGCCCCGCCCCCACTTCTTCCCCTCCCTCACCCCCCACCCCTTACTTCCAGATCTTGTGGGATGGCTGAGTCACCGGGCACTGTACCCATGTGCCCTCCCCCCCTCTCCTCGCCTCTTCTCTTTCTCATTCCCTTTCTCTTTCGCCTTCTCCCTCTTTCTTCTTTTTTCTTGTTCCTTCCTCTTTTTTCCTCTTACTCTGTCTCCTTTCCC